ATTGATCTATTTCAGAAGAGGACAGTCATGTCAAGACTGCTTAGTCAAACTAATCAGTCAAATTTACTTAGGATTTTCCCGTAAGATCATAACTATAGCCGGTTTCCTAGATATCACAAATGCGTATAACAATGTCTTAGTAGATACATTGATAAACACTTTAGATGAAATAAGGATTGATAAAAAGTTTTGTCAATATCTATAGATTTTTTTTTAAACGAAAGACACCTTATGATGTAGGATGAAATTGATCCGAATAAGTATTTTATAAGATACACAAATTGAGGTTTGACGCGAGGTGACCCAATTTCACCTATTCGTTTTAATATAACTACCATTAAATGTTTCCAGGAGATTAGAAATGTGACAATGTGTCAATACGCTAATGATTTTGTATTATATTTTTCTGCTAGAAATTTAGGAGAAAGTCAAAATTAATTACAAATTACGTTAAATACATTCTGTAATATTCTAAGTCTAAAATTTTTAATTAAACATTTGTAACACGGGTTTTAGAAGACTGCAAATAGAATTAAAATTATATAGTCATAACTTTACAATTAAATCAAAATCAAAATCAGGCACAAAGGATAGTAGGAGGATTTATTAAAACTACTCCAATTCATGTTATGGAGAGTGAGCTTGGTGTAGTTCCACTGTACTTACGGAGGAAAATAATATAACTACTCAGCTATTATATAAACTCAACACTCTTCGATAAAATTGTTATTGAAGAAACAAAACCATTCCTTTACTGGTATCCTCATATAGTGAAGTTAAAGAAATTCAGACAGCATCATCATGTCCTTTATTAATGTTTACTTTGCGAACATGGGTGACCAATATTAATGTAAATGAAGTAATTGTATCTAATATAGAAACAATCAAATATTCAAAAAGTTTATATGACAGTAACTTATTAAAATATGAAGTTATTAAAGAGTTGTATACAAAATTTAATAGCTGGAGTTTTATATTTACGGAGGGTGCGTTTTATATGCCTAATATAGATATAATACTAAATCAAAATCATCGTTGTTTTAAAATAAGTACTCGTACTACTATTATAACTTTGAAACATAGCAAGAGTTCCTTGCAACATATAGCTTGATGCGCCTTTGGTTACAGAGGTGCATCGATAGCTTATGACATTATATCCAAGATAAATGAAATAACTTCAAAAGGAAAAGGAAAGGATGAAATAACTACCATTGTACATGGTAGAGCCATGCTGCAGCTATATTAGTAGTATAGTTGTAGCACGAATGGGTCGGCTCGACCGGGGAAGGACCACGCTCTCACAGAATACCAGCGTAAAATAACAGCTTAACACTGCTGTGTTTCGTATGGTGACTGTAGAGAACCGGAGACCCTTTTTACTGGAAAAGAGGCATTCCATCTTAGTCCTCACGGGTGACGCATTTTGATTAGCAAACGAGGATAAATGTAGATGTCTATGGGCCACAGCTACCACTTTCCATCAGGTGGAGTGTGTGCTCGTTTGTCACCCAATCCTATAAAAAAGGCGTCCAACTGAGATTGGAATGAGTTCCATCTCATATTGTGTTACGGGGCAACGAAAAGGCTGACATATTAGCGAAATATACAGTGAAGAATGGAAAGGAAACTAATGTTATTTTGGATTACTCGAAAGTTTTAGCTAAATTCAAAAATATATGTTATGAAATGTGGAAGGAATACTTTAACCAACGGTCACTAGAAAAAGGAATACACTGAGGCTGACACTGTATAATACAAAGCCATACAGTGTCAGTTTCTTCATGTGCCCTGGTTCATGAATACTAGTTTAAGTAGGACATTAGCAACTGCTGCTCATAGACTCATGTCTGGACACGTTCCATGTAAGAAATATGTCTTCTTAATGAGAAAAATAACTTTGCCCAATAGTGAAGACGGTCGTGTTATAGAAGAGCTACTCCATTTATTAATGGAATGTGTTCGATGTGAGTCTGTTAGAAGTAATTTAATAAGAGTGCTGAATTCGTACAGAACTGATGTAGGTACATATCACAATATTTAATCCCAACCAAATGGCGACAATGCGAAAGTTCTAATCGAATCCATGGCCCACGTAGTATAATAATTAACTTTATATGAGTTAGTGATGTATGTTAGGGTATGATGGGACTGACATACGCTAAGCGGTAAATGTCCCTTAAATAATTGTAGAATAAAAAAATTGTCTATTAACATAATTTCGTAGCTTATTTCGCCAGTAATTAATATATAGTGCAATAATACAAAAATTGTCTCTCTCTTTTGGTAATCAATTATCACAGCGATGGAGCGAATTTTATAGAGAAATGTATGCGTGTGATGATCTTAGTGAGGGATCCGGGGATGACGCCGTGACTGGCACGCCAGACCCGGACCTCGATGACACTGAGGTCATCAGTATGAAAGAGATTGAACGTGCGATTCGAAGTTTGAAATGTGGTAAGGCTGCGGGACTAGACAGAGTTACTGCTGAAATGGTCAAGTATGGTGGGCCTCGCGTCTGGGACAGCTTTCATCTGCTGTGCAATTTGTGCTGGCGGACGGGGGATGTCCCGGATGATTGGCGATCCGCAGTCATTGTGCCTTTATATAAAGGTAAAGGTTCACATTTTGACTGCGGGTGCTATCGGGCGATCAGCTTGACCAGTTTAGCAAGTAAAGTTTACTCGAAGGTTTTGACACGTAGGATGCAAGAGAAATCGGAAAGATTTCTATGGGAGGCACAATGCGGATTTAGACCTGGAAGAGGATGCACGGATCAAATGTTTTCTCTCCGTATGATCACGGAAAAGCTTTTGGCTGTTAACCAGAAGATTTTCTGTGCTTTTGTGGATCTTGAGAAAGCATTTGATAAGGTTGTAAGGAAGAAAATGTGGGAACTGTTGCCGGGGTATGGTGTGGATGGCCGATTGCTAAGGGCTGTGCAGTCTCTTTACTGTGACTGTAAAGCCTGTGTGCGGGTAGGGCATGACCTGTCACCCATGTTTAGCGTCCAAACGGGCGTAAAACAGGGTTGTGTCATGTCTTCCTGGCTGTTCATACTGTATCTCGACAGCTGTTTACAAAAGCTGAAAGATAGCTGTTTGGGTGTGAAATTGGGTGACATAAAAGTAAATTGTCTGCTGTATGCTGATGATGCAGTGCTTATTGCACCATCAGAGGCAGAACTGCAGGCATTAGTCACGTGTATGAAAGAGGAATGTGAAATTAAAGGTCTCCGTTTGAATGCTAATAAAACTAAGGTTCTGGTATTTGAAAGGGACGAAGAGAGAACGAAGTGTGAAATATGGGTAAATCAGGAATGTCTAGAACAGGTAAATGAAATTGTATACTTGGGGAGTGCTTTTAGCCGGGATGGAAGATGTGATTTAGATGTGGACAGGCGTGTCGCTGCCGGGAACAAAGTCAATGGTGCCCTGACTGCGTTAGTCAAAAGGCAAGGCGTAGCGAAGAGTGCACGCCTTGCAATACATAACGCAGTGTTGGTACCGACTTTGTTATATGGCAGCGAAACCTGGGTATGCCAGAAGAAGCATAAAAGTAAGTTGAATGCAGTGGAGATGCGATCTCTTCGTAAAATGTGCGGCGTTACTATGGCCGACCGAAAGCGAAACGAAGAGATTCGCAATATGGCAGGTTTGAAAGATGACCTTATCACAAAAATTGATAAGGGCGTGCTTCGGTGGTTTGGGCACGTTGAGCGAATGAGTGAAGACCGAATGGTGAAGAAAATATATAGCGCGAAAGTTAATATTAAAAGGTGTCGAGGTAGACCGAGACTAACTTTCGAAGACCATGTGAGCAAATTGCTCGAAGAGGCGGGGGTCAAGAGTACTCGGATACCTAGACGTGCATGTATGAAGAAGATAATGAATCTGAAAGAAGCGAAAGAGATATGTAAGGATCGTGACACTTGGCGATCTGTTCTCTCTGGCTACCCCGTCAGGGATTGTGCGTGAAGATAAGTAAGTAAGTACATAGATGTCGCTGGTTTAAGCAGATGTATATAAATTTTAAGAGTTGAAACTACCGTAACCGTCACTTTAATACTAAATTAATGTTTTTTCACTTTAAAACAAAAATAAAACAATAATAGCACTGTGACTTAGTTTGTTAATACTGTTCCTTAGCGTTTCACTTTAAAAAGCACTGTCTTATATTTAATACTAGCTATTCTGTAGAATTTATAACAATTGGATTTCATGAGTTTTAATTTTTTGCGCGGAACCCTAATTCTTTTTCAAAAACAAAAGTAGCTTAAGTTACTCCTTATAACATCAGCTATCTGCCATTGAAACGTTTCGGAGATAAGCCGGAATAAACAAACAAACAGACAGACAAAAATTTTAAAAATCGTATTTTTGTTATTAGTATCGTATATACTTTCATATGGATTAAGTAAAAAGCCCTTATTTTTATATTACAAACAGACACTTCAATTTTATTTATTCGAATAGATAAATTCAATACAATAACAATTTATAGGTCACTGATTCATTTGATTACTTTTATCAACTTGACACTGATAATCTAGCTCCAAACAGCGAGATAACACTCGACACACTGAATTATGTTAGAATTAATACTTAGAATATAGAAAAGTTCAGTAAAGTTTTTTATAATATTTTTAAAACAAAAATTATACGGAGTTTATGTTAACTGTTATGTGTTTTTACAAAAAATGTTAGCGCCAGCTAGGATTGAACCCAGTTCTAGTCGTAACTAGGAACTGATCACTAGACCAAGCGGCCGTCATATATATTACTTTAACGATTAATTTTAACCGACTACAAAAAAAATAATGTTATTATAGGATCCCTTAAAAATTTCAACCAGATCTAACGATTATTGAAGTCATTTTATACTTTTCTTAAAATAATTGAATTATCGCAGCAGAATGAAACTTATTTTTTCTTTAGTATTACAGGAACGAAACACTATTTAGGTATAGTATAATAATAAGTAGGTATAATTTTTCTTACCATAAAAATATTTTCGAGAAAATATTAGCTTTGTCATGAGGATTTTTGTACTTCAGAACGACTTTTGAATCCATGATTGCACATTGAAATTTAAACTTATTACGGGAATATATTAACGACAAACGTAGGTTAACCGAAGTGTTTTTAACCTAAATCTTAACTGATTATTTACACTATATTTAGCGAAGTAGAAGAGTATACATTCTACAATAATTTATTTGTTGCAAATCTACACTTAACTTCACTTGGTTGCCATAAATAATATCTTATAAATGTTCCCTGTTTAATCACAGTAATGTAATAACATAATAAACCATTAAGTACGAAGAATTTTGTTCATTATAGTTTATAATCACAGACTTTTATTACATTACACTAAATCTATCCTACGCGAATCACTCCGGTGTGAGTATGCCTAATGCCGTTGACTAACACGAAGCACGGACTAGCACTGGCGCGGTGAGCAGCTAGAGTACCACAGACTAACTAGTAGATTCGAAATTCGAATGCTGGCACCTAACTAGATCGAAGGGCACTGGCCGCAGACCAAAGCAGTGTTACCAACCCGAAATTTGTCTCGGAGGTAGATGTGACTTCAGAAGTTGGTAGTTTCCTACCAATCCTACTTTTAACAGTTTTTTTTCTAGAGATCTCCAAATAATAATGTGATACTCATAATTAATGTTTCTATTGGGTAACAAATATTTCACCTCTTTTTATAAGGAACCCCATGTTCTTATGATGGATCATTGATCATTAATTACCAAAATAAAACCCGAAAAAAAAATGTAAAACGAATCATGGTGTGTTTAGTATATCCTGGTTTAATAGTTTTTAATTATAAATATTCAATTCCTTTATTCGTATAAAATAAACTTACGTGAACCTGAAGACAATTTATAGCTATGATAATTGAGAATTCACTTAAGATTCTATGGTATGTTTATGTTATTATTAGAATCAATTAATGTAAAATTTTCAATACAATAATTATTTGTATGTATAATAAGTATTTATTAATCAATAATATAATACGCTTATCAATAATAATATACTACATAAGGAACCTCGTTTCAACTGAATGTTCCACGACATTCACACATGTTTTTTTAAATGACGCTTCATTTTAATAGACGCTAGTAATTCATTTATTTGTATTTGTTAATCAATAATATAATACATTTATCAATAATAATATACTATGAAAGGAACTTCGTTCCAACCGAGTGTTCAACGACACTCACGCATGTTTTGTTTTATTTCTCTATAGTAAAAGTAGTTTTAGAGTTGCGAAATATTGATACATTTACTTTTACAAAAGAAGTCCCGCCTCTTAAACGTAGTGAATATATTTTAATTGATCAGAGCATAAAGTAATGTCCTCTCTCTATTCTTTATTATATTCAATAAACCCGTTGAGGGATTAGGTAAATACGAGTACAAAGATAAATTGATGAAAAAAAATTGAAGTCATTAATATAATTTTTGCGGATAAAGAACTAAAATTTGCAAAAAAAAATGTTTGCAAGGTAGTTTAGAGAGATAGGAGTTAGATACTATAAGTTGGTAGATCTACCGAAGAGTGGGTAGAGTTGATAACACACGGTACTTGCTTAGCAACGGCCACCGGCACAGCAAGCTACAGTTGGGCGTTATAACATTCAACAGATAATATAACTCATTAGAAATTTTAAATGCTATAACACACTTTAAAAGTCCTGACAACACTGCTATAATTTAAATTGAGATCGTGGCTTTCTTACATAATTACAATAGCGCCATCTAGCATTGTGTCTTTGTAATATACATAGAAATTTACGTTAGCAATAGATGTGCTTCGATTTTTGACACGTAATAAGACCATAGCCATTTGCTTGCTACTCAATGCTTAAGGCTTAAATTAACCTGAATGACCTCGACGAAACGGCGATCGCAGAGATTTTAGCCAACGTCAACACCGTCTAACGACTACGTTCTGTATTACTTATAAAAGTGCAAAGATTAATAGACTGCAGAGGTGACAATTATATAAGTGACATACTGCCTGTTATGCTTGCGCATCACTGAGAATTATGTAGCAGTTAAGCATCTGCACTGCACGGTGTGGTGCTGTAGCTTTGTCCGGTAGGCATCACGAGCTATCAAGTGTTCAAGTTTCAAGTACGTAAGAGTTTTTATTATATATGTTAAATCGTGTTTATTTGTGACTAATAGTAGCTCTGGGTTTAAGCGCTCGCTGTAAATTTTTCCCGGGTTTAATTTGGTCCCGAATGAAATGTTTAATTGTAATTTTAAGTGCTGATTTAGCACGTGCTCGGCGGTGAAGGAAAACATTGTGAGAAAACCTGCATATATCTGAGGAATAACAAAAAAAAATTTCGAAGACATGTGAAGTTGGGGCAGCGCGGCGGACATTTCCTTGACCTAAAAACCTCTCAGAAGTAAGAGGAGCCCTGTGCCTTGCATAGGTACTTACATAGTCTGTTACTTTATTTTTGTACTGTATACATATGCAATATTCATTTTCGTTTCAGATACAGAAGGGTACCTAATGCTGAGAAAAGTATCATGTGGAGGCCACAAAAACGTGAAACATCTTAGTATCTATATAAAATTTTCTTGCGACTGTCAATCTTTTCATACGCCACCTTATCTATAAAGTTTAGAACGTTTCAGATAGGGCAAAATAAAAAATAATACACAATATTATAGGAATGATTTATTAATAATATATACTTTTATAGGTATTTACAATAAAAATATCGAACAAGCTGCAAGCAAGGCTCAAGTGATGGTGTTTCTTGTAAACACAATTGTAAAATTGCTGTTTTCATTTTTATCAATGGTGAATTGATGAAACGTAGTAAAAATCACTTTATATAAAATATATTTAATTAAATTGGCACATTGCGTATTTGGCCTTCCACTTACAACTTGGCGGAAATTTTAAAAGAAAGATTTTGTTGGTTCTTAATTCTTTTGTGTTTCCATTTTTCACAGAAGTATTGCTTACACTGGCGTGGTTTCCAAAAGCATGATTAAGTGTCAGCTATATGTATATCGTCAATCAGAATCTGAATTTTTTGACATTTATTTCTTGTAACCATTTTAAAAACTGACGCAAACTCATTACATAGTCTATTATTTGTTATATTTTTAGTGTAACGTATTTGGGTATCTTGGATAAGTTTGTAATTTTTTTTATTTTATCACAAGATTTTTGCAAAAATTAAAAAAAAGTTATTACGTTTCGTACAGTGACTCTCTCCTCTTAGCTTTGGCGTGACTGCAGGATCTTATGTAGGTACTGAGTAACCGCCAGTTACTAAACGGCTATAAATCAATCATCATCATCATCATTACAGCCCTTCACAAGTCCACTGCTGAACATAGGCCTCCCTCAAAGAATACCACAAAGCACGTTCCTGAGCCACCTGTATCCATCGACTTCCTGCATATCTTACCAGGTCTTCACTCCATCTAGTGGGGGGACGCCTTACACTTCGTCCGCCGGTACGAGGCCGCCACTCGAGAATCTTTTTTCCCCATCGGTTGTCGGTTCTTCGAGCTATATGGCCGGCCCATTGCCACTTCAGCTTACTAATCCGTAGGGCTATGTCGGTCACTCTGGTTCTGCTGCTGATATCCTCATTTCTAAGTTTATCACGCAGAGAAACTCCGAGCTTAGCCCTCTCCATAGCTCGCTGAGCGACCTTGAGCGTTCTCATCCGGCGAGCAGTGAAGGACCACGTCTCAGTTCCATAGGTCGTCACTGGCAACACGCACTGCTTGTACAGTCTCGTTTTCAAGTTTTGATGTATACCTAAAACCTAAATCTAACCCACATATATAAATTAATATATGTATGTACAGACATACAGATGTACATTTTTTGATTTTATTATTTTTGATTTTCTGAATTTTGATTGATTTTTTGAAACCTAGTAAAATTAATTATTTTTCAATACTATTTCATGGGCCTGAGTATAATGCCAGTTGTGCTCTTTGGCCGAAATTATATATTTTTATTATGCACAATTGCAGACAAAACAATCTCTAAAACAAAATTTTACCTCTTCTCCTTCTGCACCTGACACGGCGGAATAGTTTTTTCTAGAAGATCATTTACAATAATTTTTGTTAACAGTTATGAGTGTAACATTTTTATCAGCTGCTTTATTCATAGTGCCTTGAAAAAAAAAACTAAAAAAAACACGCGTTTGTAGATAACCACGTGGGGTGCTGTTTCAGATATTTTTATGATGACGCTCATTTTACAAATGTCCACAAAAATAGTTACAACAAATGACATCAAGCACCCCACGCTTTTTTACAATAAAATGATTTTTTATGTTAATCACTATTTTTTATTTTAAAGTTATTGAAAATTATTTTCTACTTTTTAGTTCGGTTATCTACAAAAGCGTGTTTATTTAGTTTTTTTTTAAACTATTCCTTATTTTCTATTTTTTTAGTGCGGCAAATTACAAAAGCGTGGTTTTTTGGACCGAAGATCTTTTACGCGGCTTACAGCAGATTGAACTGGCGGAAATCGTAGTTGTTTTATGAATTATTCACAAATGCTGAAGATCCTGGTAAGATTAATGGGACAAACTATTTAAATTATTGCATCGTCATTGGTCCTCGATAAGTGTGCGAAGTTTCAAATCAATGTGACAAATTGAAGGAGATAAAAATTACATTCAAAAATTCCGTTAGATAAATACATATCTAGCTAATAAAAGCGTGTTAAAAATGATGCTGGCTTTGGTATTTCTTATTTGAAATAATTTGTAAGCGTAGTACTGCAGAAAACTGTCCCAAATATGAATGGCCGCTACCGATTAAGAATACCTGTTATGTTACACCTATTGACATATAAACTTTAATTATTTTATTCTATTAAATTCTAAAACCACTTTTTTCACAAGAAACTTTGAGACAACTTAACCATGTTTTTAGCTAATTAAGTGAATAGTAAAACAAACATAGATGTTCGTGATTTAAAATTTCTTGCAGCTTTTTATAGAAAAGCATGACCTTATCATAAAGTTAGTTAGTTAATATTTAGTGACCTGATCTGAAAACATTTAAGTGTGAAAATCATACATTAATGATGATATTTGGGTCATTATACTGAAAATAGTCTATTAAATGTTTTATAATACAATTAATCATCTTCAGTATGATTGACCGTGTGTATGAATTTTATAAGTCTATGCTATTTTTTATGAAAATTATTATTGCAGATAAATACCTTTCACATTTATTTTAGTCTCGAATTTACATAAACAAAATAAATAATTGAACTTTTTAAGAAGTCTTATCGGTAGCCTTCCTTTTATATAGAAATATAGTAATGACGTGCATTTCTTTTAATATGAACTTAGTCGTGTTTCATTGAAACTGACAAGGTTTGTTTTACCCAAAACAAAGAATGATGCTGAAGAAAC